GAGCTTGACTGCTCTCCTTGGGTAAAATTGCATATTACCCACTGCAAAATAGCTTCCAGCTACTCACTACCACATTTCAGGTGAACAGCTTTGTTAAAAATAACATGCACAAGAGTTCCAACAATTTTTTGGAAGCATGGCACAATATGAGACCCCTGATAAGATCCCATTACAACACACACAGAACCCTCTGTCAAGCAGTGAAAAGAAAAAGCTATATGGCCTTGCCAGTCACTTTGGCCTTTACAGTTGTACAAGATTTATATTCTCTCTCACAACCTAAGTTCACTGCTGCTTTGGCCTGTCAGAAAGTCAATTTCATTTAAGACATCATACAGCGTGCTACTTCGGAAACTATTATGGGTCAAGCTAGGCAGTGAGATTTCCCTGCAGGAATGAAAGAGGATGGGAAGATGAGCTATGAGGAAGAACAAGCTTCTTTAAACCAAAATGCTAAACAAAAAAAGAGGTCAATAAACTAAAAAACTTGTATGTGGTGAATATATTTGTAGTGAATATTTGCGTGTTTGTCCTGTTTCCGAAGCTTTTCCCAAGTACAACATGGAAATATCTATTTAAAATAGGAGGAATCTGGAAGTGGGAGAATTATTGGGGGAGAAAGGAGAAGAGCTGTGCAGGTTGTATATCTGAATACAAAATGAGTCCCTGAACAGTTATCCACTGTGGATTAATTCACTCTGCAGTGAAGCTGCTTGTCTATTCAAACTGGAAGGCTTAACTTGTCAGTGTTGCCATGAGCAAAAGCTGTCAGCAGTGAATTCACAGCTACAGGTGATACACAGGCCTTGGAAATTCAATTAGACAAGAGCCATTTGGTAGAAAAAAATATCCCCTAAATGATATCAAGGGAGACCCTGGGAAAAACTGAATATGGTTTGTCACTATCAGACGTAACTGGGGCTGAACAGTATAAAAAAAAATAAAAACATGCCACAAACAGGCAGGGAGAAGGCAGTCAGATTCCAGCAGGTCACATCAAATCACTCCTTCAGCACTGGGTCAAGGAGCAGAAGCAGGGACTCAGATACTGTGGTTACATTTGATGTCTCCCTTCCTGTGTTTCACTAAAAACAAGGAAATAGACTGGCCCTTTCCCAAAAAGGGCGAGCTTGACTGCTCTCCTTGGGTAAAATTGCATATTACCCACTGCAAAATAGCTTCCAGCTACTCACTACCACATTTCAGGTGAACAGCTTTGTTAAAAATAACATGCACAAGAGCTCCAACAATTTATCCAGAGAACTTTTAAGGTATATAATGACACTTTATCTTCCTATTGCTCAGTTTCCAGCCCTAGTGAGTGAAACGACTTTACTTCTTTTCAAAGCCAAAAACACAGTAAAATGTTGTAGAAATAAGTAGGCTGAAATAATAGGGTCTCTTAACTAAACTGAACAATTATTTTCTCTAAAGATATGTATCCAAAACATTTCAAGTACAAGACAACTACACTATTTGATGCACATAGGCATTCAAAAGCAAGGATCTTGCACATCAGGTTATTACATGTCCAGAAATGCAACTACAGATGAGGCTTTGATTCTTATAGACTCACCTCCTGGATTTGTTCAAGTCCCTTTTCACTGCATCTCCCCAGTGCTAAATGACTCCAATGGCAGAATGGAACTAGTAAATATAATGCTGCTATACCCTGTTGGGAGTACTCTCTCATTGCACATATGGGGTAGCCTTAGGAACCTCTCCACATCCTTTCCAGGTTTCCAGCTGAAGCCCACAAGGAGCTAGATTTTCATTAAATATATAATATTAAATCCCAGCTGGCCTGCCCTCTCAGAAGTTAGAGTCTAGACATTAAAGGAAAAAAGGAGACAAAAACAGGCTATGTAAGGAAAAGTGAAGGAAGATGAGGAGAAAAGAAGAACAGAACAATAGTGAAACAGTACAGTAGAGCTGAAGGAGAATAAAGAAGCCCCAATTTGTGAGAACCACAGGAAAAAGAAGCCATTCCAAAAATTACAGCAATAGGAAGTGCAAACAACGGCTTCATCTCCAAAACTGGTTTGGGAAGAAGCTGGCTTGGAAATAGGACACAGGTTCACTAATGTAAAGCAATCTAACTAAGGGAAAAAATGAAACCCAGATGGCTTTGCCTATCTACTCATGAGATGCACAACAAAGAATGTTCTTCTAATCAAAGAAATCCTCATATTCAAATGAGCTCACCATTGCTCAGCACATGCTGATTTCTTACAGTTCTCCACAAGAAATGGGTTGAGACCAAAATGTCTTACAACAGGCCTTTCCATGAAAGCCGGGCCACATCTATCTTTTTTTAAAAAACAATAGGAACATGACATTCAAAGTAAAAGCCCAGTTCTCTGGAGGTGTGCAGGCATCCATAAACCTGAGGGTTCATTACAGCAAACACCCACCAAAGCACTAGATCTGACTTATCTTGTGTCATCTCATGGAAAATATCTGTAGTGCTTCCCAACACAGCACAACTGCTATGGAAAGACAATTTTATAAAGGCATCATTTAAAATATATATGTTGTACAGGACACTAATACAACCAGATTTCTTCTTGTTTAGAGGCTTGCTTTAATTACAACTTCATCTGCAACACACGCATGAAATTTAACACAGAGATTAAGAAGCCAAAATGTGTAGGGAAAAAAACAACTTTCTTGACAGCCAAAACAAACACCCCCAGTAGTCAGACCTCTATTTCACAAGACAGCATTTTGAAAGGAAAAGAAAATCAAGTTTTATTCTGCCCCTGCTTTACACCTTCTGATGCAAAAAGAAACACTACCTTTCTTTGCAAATATCACAGAAGGACAAGCTTCCTAACAGTCTAAGACGTGTCAAACATATGGTCTGTAAAGCCATTACATCTTGTCCTTGGGGGTCCTGGTGTGACAAGGACTTTGAGGGGCAGGGCCTGCAACAAGTCCAGACCCGCCTTAGCCATGGGCTGTCATTAGCAATGGGACAGCAGCAATGGTTATGGGGCTAAAGTATATGATCTATGAGGAGACACTGAGGGAAATGGTCTTATTTAGTCTGGAGAAGAAAAGACTGAGGAGGGATTTAATAACAGCTTTCAACTACCTGAAGGTGGTTCCAAAGGTGTTCTCAGGTGGTGGCAGATGACAGAAGAAGGAACAATGGTCTCAAGTTGCAGCAAGGGAAGATTAGGTTAGATATTAAGAGAAACTCACCAGGAGGGTAGTAAAGCACTGAAACAGGTAACCCAGAAAGTCTGTGGACTCCCCGTTCTTGGAGGTTTTTAAAATATGACTAGACAAAGCCTTGGCAGGAATGATCTGGTTGGAGATGTTCCTGCTTCAAGCAAGGGGCTGGACTAGATGACCTTCCTTCCAGCCCTCATTTTCTATGATTCTATGACCTCTTGCCTTACCACCATTGCAAGCGGTTGCCTGTCATACTGCCACATCTATCACCGGCCCCTCCACAGCTGCTTTTTGCCCTGCTGCCACAACTCCTGGCCCTGCAGGGTGTCTGACATCCCTGATCTAAAACACGTGCTCCAATAGCTCATATAATCCCAAAATGCAGCCCTGCTGTGACACTGGCTTTCAGAACTTTTAGAGAAACCTTTCTATTCACTCAGTTTCCAATTCTCTTTCAAAACGAAAGGAGATAAGAGCTGGCTATTTACTTCTACTCAGCATTTCACGAACACTATTACAGACTGCCTACATAGTTTCAACATGCTTTCTTCAGTTTTCTGGTAGTCAGCTACTGTGCATTCTTACTTCAGACATGTGAAGATGCAAAATACCTCCTCATGAGCTCTGTGGCCTGGGGCACAGAAGAACTTAGTAAAGCAGGGGACTTCAGGAGCCTTAACTTTGTGGGCTTTTTACCCAACCCTAAATGCGGCTGTAGTTTATGTGGTTCAGTCTTATCCTGGAAAATAATTGCTGATTAAAAGGAGTAAGAGGGCACCATGAACGACGAGAGACATTTTTAAAGGCAAGTTTATCTGGAGCCTGATAAAATCTTTTACTTAACAAAAACTGGCTAGGGGAGAAAGGGAGCATTTGCAACAGAAGCAGGAATATATCTACCTTCCCCAAAATCTGCTCCAAAGCACTGACAAACCAATCTACACCATCTTCTCTCTAGCAACCAACAGTCACCTCCTGAGACAGCAACAACCAGATTCGAGGTCTCCCACAAGATAATAAAAAGTGCATGCCAATGGGCCCTTCAACCACTTTCCCTCAACATTCTGCCCTTCAGCTTAAGTTACTCTATTGGCAGCAGGAGAAGAGTAAATTTCACTAACCTCAATGGGTTCAGACGGGATTTTCAATTTGGATAGCCTGGCCTTGGCATTTGCTTTTAGATCTGATATTTTCTCGTAGGGCTCTCCATGGTACTCCTCTGGAAGTGCCTTGAGCTCTGGTGACTCATATGGTGCCTGATCTTGGCCATCCATTGGTCTGACATATGCAGTAGGTTTCTGTTGTATTACACTAGTTTTTGATGGCAAGGAAGGGGGAAATGTCTGAGAGGATGGTTGGGCAGCACCAGCCAAGTTAATGGCTAAACCATCCCAATTTTCACTATCATGTGATCCTGCCATTAGGTCCTGAGTAGATTGCATTTGACTGCAGGGCTGCCCATGACTTTTTTTGCTATTCTGTGACCTGGAATTTACATGCTGGCTGGAATGTAGAGGTGACAGGGGTGCCACCGGAGAAGACAAAGAAGACAGCAAGGGAGAAAGTTCCAAAAGGGAGGCTTGCAGTTCATTAGTGGTACCTTCATCAACACGCCTTTCATTTTTCTTGTGGTGAGTGCCATTGTGACGTTCCTGTCCACTGCGACTGTATTCTTGACCTTGGCTCCGACTGTTGGATAAGCTGTGGCTTTTGGTGTGCAAACTGGAGGCTGGCTCTGTTCTTAACTGTGTCTTTTGGTAGTGGATGGAATTGCTAGCTGGAGAAGGAGCCCAGACCAGGGGTCCCATAGGTTGGTGGTGGGTGCGATGCTGGAATGAAGGTGGTAATGTATTGCTGGTCTTTTCAAGAAAGGATGGGCGATCAGGCTTTCCTTGGGGGATCAAAGAAACAACACTTTTGGGTATCCCTATGAGATTCTGATGGGATCTGTTGTTAATGAGCTCCTTCACCTCTTCATAATTGCCCAGCATGTTCTGAATTCGACTGGACAATTCATCTTCCTTATTTGTCTGAAACAGAAGTGATGAGAAGAGAAAATGCAAGTGCAAAAAAAAAAAAAAAATCAAATCCAGATTCAAGGGGGAGAGAAAAAGTCTTAATTTTCAATAAACCACCATCTTAACACCATTTTATGGTAGATTTAGGCAACCCTTACTCACGTACATATCTCACTGTTGTGAAAGGGACTGCTTTCACATGAGTGCTAACCAACATGAGTAAAGGTTGCAGGTGGGCCTTAGCAGTAGCATGGTTTCAAGCTGCAGGCTACTGATGGATGGGCAGGCCAAGTGGGTCATAAGTGTCCACCCACTAGCTTTTGGAAAAAAGGCAGATGTCCCCAATAAGACACGCAGCAATCTCCAAGTTTAATACTTTAATAACCTTCAAAATGAAATCAGAGTCTTAAATGCGTATTTTGGGAGCTGCAATGCAAATGCGGTCCTACTGTACACATATCACAATGTACTCTACCATATTACACTGTACACAGAGGTTACAACTCCCCACCACCTCACCTCCTCTCAGCAATGTGCTACATTACTATTACCTTGTATGGCTCTGCAAAGAGGGGAATATTTTCGGGGAAGGTGTCTCTTTCCTGAAGGGCCTCCTGATTCCGTCTCTCTCTCTCCCTGATACGAAGTAAATTTCTATCCTCATTGTACAAGCTTTGGGAAAGAGAACAAGAAGATTAGTTAGCATTTTATTTCGAATGCTCAACCTAAGGATTCACGTAGTACAGAAATGGTTCTCTCAAATGACATTATATATCCATCAAGTCACTAAAGTTTAAAATCAGAAACTTTATTGGACAATCAACCTGATAGATCAGTTGCATAAGGCAGCCGGCATGCAGCAGGGTAAGGACACAGCACATGCCTCAGTGTGGATGAATTTCCTGACACCATACACAAAAGAGTAAACAATGTTTACAGGGAAATGCAAGTAAAGCAGCAGTGAACGTTTTCCCTATTGCTCTCATACCTGGCCTTAAAGTTTAATGCATTTCCAAAAGAAAGGCAGAGACTTGTCTTATAATGATAGTCATAATAGTTCATTTTGTTAAGGATTCAATAGTTTCCCAAGTCTGCTTTATTCCAGGATACATTTTAATGGATGAATGCAAAGACACAAGAGCTTTTGACGTCATACCCTTTGAAACAAACAAGCCCTATACATGGCTATATAGAATGGGAAGCTGAAAAACTTTTCCTGTGACCCAGCCACATAGGTATGGAGTTCGACAATTTGAGAACCTGTCATTCCTCATTTTCTCCCCCCATGCCCCTATTTTAAGAAATAAAACAGGCATAAGTGATTTCCAGCCAGTAATTTACTGTATTTATTCAAATATAAGGCAGGCCTGACTACAAAGCGACTCCCCAGTAGTTAGACTCTATATGGAAAATTATAAGTTTGTTATAAATTTTTCAGGTATAGAATCTAATTACTGAACATCTACCTTGAATTTGTCCTCCTCCCACTGCTACAGCAGGGAAAATAGGTGGGGATGGGGACGGGGGAAACAACCATCAGGTGGCTTCCCCCACTCTTTACTGTCAGACCCTTCTCTCCCTGAGCACATGGAAGAGAGAGAGACATTTGAACACACTCACTTTGAAATAAACATTCTGGTAGTCAATTGCACAAAGGCAAATTACTATGGGTACCCAATAACTTAGTTCAACCAAAATTGATGTTTGTTTGTTTTTTGAAACTGCTACAAGTTTTAGCAAGGGTATTCCACAAACACACTTTTAATCAACTTACTTATGTACTTACTTATATATAGTACAAACTTTTTAAAACAAAAGTTATGCATCCCAGGCCAAATTAGTCAAGACTAATTCCAAATCTAAGAGTCCAGAACCATAAGTGGCTCTACTACCAGCAAAAATCCTCCACCCCCATCCTAGACTTCAGATGTTCTCATAACCTTTGGCAGGCATCCTAATTGCAGGCCCAGGCCCAAGCCCAGAGGCTTGGGGTTCAGATGCCCCCAAGTTTTGCTTGCCCTCAGCCATAAGGCCCCAAGGTAAGCTAAAGAAAAGTCTTCCATTTCCATAAAGTGGGTTTAAAGCACTCCAGCAGCTAAGTGGGGGGATTTACTATAAATCACCTTGGCAGGTACTATCCCCATGCCATGAAAGCAGTCTTCCCTGGTATGGCTAAGAAAACCATCTCCATGATCACAGTGTTTCCCTTGCCAGGCAAGCAGGAACCTTCAAGAGGCTGAGAAGTGATACAAACTATGCTTGATATTAACCCAAAGCAAAAAGGCTCACGATTTGCTATATAGTTCATTGGTCTGAGCCCCAGCAGAGTCAACAACGTTTCAAGCCATAGTGACCCCACATCTCAGCACTAATCAGTATCTGCATGTACTCCAAATCCCCCTCTCTCACCACAAACAGATCCACGTGCTAAACAGAGCCCCACTCATGATTGGAACAGGATGTTCTTGTCATGAGTCCTGGGATCCTCCAAAAACTGATATGCAGATAAGGTGCATGGCAACCTCCACCTCATGGAGTGTGAGGCCATGCTAATCATATGCAATGGGCTAAGACAGGGGGTCACAGAGGGATTAGGGTGAACTGGGGCCTCAACTTGGTGATGTTTGCCAAACATTTAAGGCTAGCGAAGAAACAGGAATCCTTAGAAAAGAGAAACAAGGACACAGTTCAGCCATAGAAGTGAAGAGGAACTCAAAATTATGCAAGTGTCATGGCTCACCATGACCTGAAAAAGAGTGGGGACTGAGTGCAATTGGTATATACTTTACTCAGATGAGCTGCACTCATCCATCTTCCCCCCCCCGGCTCACAAGTAAGACTAGGAGATATCCACATCCCAAAGCCTCCAGGCTTGGCACTTGAATGCAGGAAGTCTTCCATGGATTTGGAGAGCCTCTGAAACCCAAGACTAAGACCCAAGACTGGGTCTGAGAGGAAGGATAGTTTCCTGGTTGTAAAGCTATACAAACACAGGCTTGAACAACTAAGCTCTACTCTTGTCAACATTTGGAACTTAAGTATTGGGCTTTGCCCAACAGAATTCAGAACTAATTTGGCCCTTGAAATGAAATTTTAAAAACAAAACCAAAAACAACTTTAGAACACGCAGATGTATAAGCTGCAGTCACATCCTGAAGTCAGGGCTGTCCAACTGGCAGCCTACAAGTTGCATGCGGCCTCCAAAGGGTTGAGTTGCAGTGCCTGAACTCCTGCTCAGTCACTCTTCACCCCTCTGCTCTGGCTGCAACAGCACATAGAATTTCCAGGCTTCTTCTCCCTGCCCCAGGGTGCAGGGTGGTGCAGCCTGGTATGGTACAGGAAGCAGAGAGTAAGGCCAGAGCTACACAGTTGCCCAGTGCAACAGCGTGGGGAAGGGGGAAGAGTACCCAGGGCAGGTGCATGGTATAGCAAGCGGGCATGCACATGGTATGTGGCCTGGGGGCCCTGTGGCTCTCACCCTAGTATGGCTTGCATGGTGTGTGCTCCCTGCTGGTGCTGTCTGAGGACTGGGTGGCTCCCAGTTGCATAAAATTTGGATAACCCTGTCCTAAAGTGTTGTTTACCTATGTTTTATCATGAAAAGAAGAATGAGGTGAAGCTTAATAGTTACCTTAGGAGACTCTTCTCATCTCACTCCAGTATCAGATTCTCAAAGTATTTTCCTCACTATTCCCATCAGTATCATCCTTCTCTCCCACTCAGATCCTTCCCCATTGGTTCTTAGATCAGATTTTTCACCATTCATTGGGCAGGTGGGGAAATAAATACGGAGTAGAATCAGCAGCTCTCAGGCTTAGATAAGGAAGGATGAGGCTTCAAAAAAGCCAAATTCTCTCTTTTGTTATAATCTGCATGCAAGGTTAATCCCTGGGGCATTCTCCTGAACACCCAGAAAATTCTTATACCTTCAGATGCATGCTGAACACCAGCACATTCATATTTTACTAAATACAACCAACTGATTTTTGTCTTCAAAATTTACAATTACGAATGCACTAGGTATGTCACCCTCTCCCCTGAGGAAAGCAGTTAGAGGTTCCCATTAGTCAGAGCATAGCGCATACAGATGTTACACAAGCTTTCCTCATCCCCAAAAAGTTTGCTAATGCACATGAGAGATTGTGATATCTTTCCTACTCCAGACCTAAGTCTCTCCTCAGCCAAGCCACTAGATTGGCACAACTCTATGTTAAAACAGTAACTCTGTATTTAAAAAAAATCTGTTAGATCTTGTTTTATATTAAAGATAATATATTTGTTTGTTTCAGAGAGGATAAAGTAGAACAAAAATACAAGGCAAATTTCAAACCACTTACAGAATGTCATCAAAATTATCAAACTCAAGAGAATACATCCTTTTCTTGCATATACCTACCCCCAACATTTATAACCTCTTCAGATAATCTCCAAGTTTTTAAAAAACATTTGATAATTAGGTATTATGTTTGATTATTCAGGGCGAGATATAAACTTGCTCCATTTTAAATGGCGTTTAATGTGTGTGCATTTGAAAGGTTTGCTGAGCTTTATTTGATTTTTTAATAATTGGTATCAATAAATTAAAGTTTAAAACGAATAGATGTTGCCTTTCATCAACACAACAGAATAGACATGAACTGTCATGGGAGGGAAGTGCTATGTAATAATTCTAGTAATGTTTCTGGGATCCTCAGTGTATTGACTAGAACATGTCAACAATTATAAAGACAAATCACTTGGTAATCTATATTTTAATGCAGGAAGATGTGTCTAATAGTGCACAAGGTGCACAATTTAAGTGATGTGATTTGTATTAAATTGGCATGAAGTAATCAGAGCCTTCTCTCTCTCTCTCTCTCTCACTTTCTGCAGTAATTTGTAATTTATTGAAAACCAGCTGTCTTGAAGGTAGTGTCTTTAAGCTTGGGCTAACCATCTCTACATACAATTACAGAAGTCAAAAAACATAAGCAGTGATACAAAAAAGAAACAGTTTTTCATGGTTCTTCTACCATCCCACTTGCCAAGCTTTTAGAAGTTAAAAAAAGTTACTTACCAGTGAGTAGAATGAAGATGTTCATATGTGCACCCTTATTGTACAGGACAGGCAGTGCCATTTTTCATGTGCTCAAGTACAGATTTTTTGCCTTAGCAGTACCTACAGGGTATGTCATGGTTCTGCCCCTCTTGTGCATCACAGAAGGGATAAAGAGGGGATTGTATTTCCACTGAAAGAGGTCTCAGAGTCATTTAGAAAAAAAGCAGCTGAAGGACCTACTAATTGCAGAATTTGCCCAGGACACTTTTGAAATGGACTAGTGCTTGGTAAAGATGTACATCAAGCTCCAGGTTGCTGCTTTGAAGGTATCAGTTATGGATATACTGTAAAGAAATGCTGTGGAAATAGCCTGGGCTCTGATTAAATGGGCACTGTCCATGGATGGTGCATCCGATGGGGACTGCTAAGGCAAAAGTCTCCATTTGAGCACCTGAGGTACAAATGCACCCATAAGGGTATCCATATAGGCAAACACTGCAAGGAGGACCTTAAATTCCTCTCTTAGCCTAGTCTCTCTGTATTGGTTATGTTATTAAGAACAGATGGTCAATGAATTTTCTTTAACATGTGTCTGCAATGGTTTGGGTTTCCAGTTAACATCTTCAGAATGATT